TGAGTTTCTAAATAAAAAATGTAATAACTACAGTATCCATTCTAAAATAATTGTGAAATTGTATAGTTAAGTCTTTTAGATTAAATTGTAGGCCTATATAACCATTTTTTTAGAGGACACTATTCATGTAGGCGATATAGAATGTAAAGTGAATAAAGATAATTTGATTTGATATGAATACAATGGGGCAAAACCAGTGACAGGGCTCTAGGTTTTTATAAAATTTGAAGTTGAGTGCAAATATTTGATGTATTGGTTTGATTGTTGTTGCTAGCTGCGTGTGGCAGTGATAGAAGCGTAATTCTGTACGACACCAGAGAATCAGGACCGCTACGTAAACTGACGATGGCCCTCCGGACAAATCAGCTTGCATGGAACCCGATGGAGGCGTTTACATTCACCTGCGCCAATGAAGACTACAAGTAAGTTTGTTTTATAATTGATTTTAATGGTAAGCACTGGCCTATATTTAGGGTAAATAGTACTCTGGGCTGCAAGCAGCTTTGGGTAGGTCCCTTGGAGCACTTTATTCAAATAATTAAAAATCCTCACAGTTACAAATATGTATAGGAAAATATAGGCTACCAAACTGCAGGTTCAAGGAATCAATATGTTACGAAAAAAAGGTTCAAATCTAGATGTCCCTAGGTGTAGCAGAGTCTCCAAACTGCTACCCAGTTTCAGCCTACTGGTTAGCCTGAAACTGCTTCCAGAAAAAAAAACTTTCCAACAGGGAATCAAGTCTTGCTTGTTGGACGACCCCTGCTATTCTGTGAAGAAGTTTAATAACACTGTAAAAAAAATTCATTAACTTGTAGGTCTTTGACTCGGCCTATTGCCTGATTGTGTTAACAGCTAAATAAATGTTTTTGATAGAGGAATACAAAAAGTGGGGCCTATGTAGGCATTAGACAGTTTCAATATTTCCTCAGTAATTTTATTAATTTAATTTTGGTTATTAATGGTAATTTCCCTATAAAACCCATAACACCACAACCACAACATAAATCTGACTTGCACAAAAACAGCTATTCTTTTATTAAAATTTTGTTTTAACTGTCCTTTAATCCTTGGACAAAAATATTTCCCCATAAAAAACATCAAGTTACCTTGCTATTTGCCACTTACCCATTAATTGTTTTTCCACAGTATGATGTTCAATTTTAATATCAGGCTGATGGGAGAAAGTATGTGTCAGTTTGCTGATAAACTGTTTATTTTCAGCTTGTACACATATGACAGTCGTAATCTGAAGATGGCCTTGAATGTACACAAGGACCATACCTCAGCTGTTACTTGTGTTGACTACGCTCCTACTGGCCGAGAGTTTGTGTCCGGCAGTTACGACAAATCTGTACGCATTTACGAAGTCACTAAGGTAAAGCTGTCAAAATTCTATAGAAAAAAATTCATGAAAATCTTTTTCTCATGTTTGGTTATGCTTCTTATTACCCAATTTGTTTAGTATGTTTATTTACCATTTCATTCAGATGTATGGGGAAAATATTGATGTGCAGGTGATATATGAAAACCGATCCAATACAATTAAGTCAAACCTTTCAATTTGTACCTTTCAATCAAGGGAAGACTCAATATCAGTATCAAATTAATTTAAGAGTTGTGAGAAATGCAATTTTTAATATATCTTCTTTTCTCCTCTGCGCATGTTTCAAAGCTACATCCGTCAAAACAACAAGAGTAATGAGATCCAAATCAATTTAATTAATTTAAAAATTTAGTTTTACTTTTACAATAAAAAGTTTAACTATGTGTTTGTGATATTTTCAGGGACATTCAAGAGACATTTACCACACAAAGCGAATGCAGAGACTAACCAGTGTTGCTTGGACAATGGACAACAAATACATCGCCACTTCCTCGGATGAGATGAACATACGACTGTGGAAAGCAAGGGCATCGGAAAAGTTGGGCGTGGTATGTTATTTCCAAGAATGACAATCTCGTTGTCATTACTTTTACCTTTTATTAGCATTGCTTGGTAAAATTTCTGATGTTTAACACTAAAAAGCTTTTGATGTGTTTTGAAGAATAATTAAGAGATTTGCCCTGTCTATTATTATTATTATGTTTAAATTATCCTTTTCAACTCATTCATTCCTTAGTTGAAAATGGTGTCAGTTACAGTGAATATTCTTACGTTTTGTGTTTCTCATACTAGTTTCGACTATTTCCCAATCAGGTAAGCCTGCTATTCTCGGAAAAATATCGTAAAAACCCAGGTCCTTGTGCTCTATGTTACACCTTTTACATATGTGTTTCAACCTAATTTTGGTTTTTATTCAGCTGATGGGCAGAGAAAGGGCAGCTCTGAATTACAACGAGGCGTTGAAGAAGAAGTTTGCTAACCATCCACAGATTAGGAGGATAGCTCGACACAGACAAGTGCCCAAACACATCTACAATGCTCAGAGAGAGCAGCGCACCATCCGGGACAAAACAAAGAGAAAGTATGTATACTGAAACTGTTATAGTACGTTGTCATAGCATATCTCCGTATGAATAATGGCGTTAACTGTGGGCAGAACTTATGTTTTAAGTTGTCGCCAGTTTTGGAATGAAAATGCACAATTGAATTAAGCCACCAAATAGTACACTGATCTAAATTACTAGTTTCTGCCACATGCGCCAACTTTTTAACAAAGCCAAACCGAAAGATCTTATTTTAAACTAAAACACAACATCCACTTTTTTCATATCAAACATCACATCAAAAATTGAGCCAGAAAATATTCACTAATGTAAGATAAGTAGCTTATATATGGAAAGTAGCCTACTGTAGGTTGGTGGTGGCGCGGGAAGACCTAGACCGATTTACTTTTTCCAGAGGCCAAAAACATAATTCATTAAAGTTGTCATGAATGTGTCCATGAACACAAAAACAAAAACTCAAGTAGGCCTAATTTTAGTTTGATTTTTAAGAAATTTTGCATTAATAGGTAGGGCAAAATAAACTTGAATAAGTTTGTGAACCAGCAAGATTGGGTCATGGGATCAGGGTGTTTAAATTTTCAAAAATTATTATTTTTTTTTTATTTTTACCCTTAATTTATGAACAAGCACATTGAAGCGTTGGTTGAAAAATTAAAGGTTCTGGAGGAAATTAACTGTTAGTGTTGTACTTGGCTTTTTTCAAAATTGGCAAATTTATTCATTTCATGCTATACTATAAAGATAAAAAAAAAAACTTTTTTCCTACAGTCGCCCGACAAAGTTGGCTTCCCTGTACTGTTTATAGTACAGAAAGCTGCTAATTGCTGCATATTTATACTTTGCCGTACGGTTTATACTTTGCCGTACGGTTTATACTTTGCCGCACATCAGGATTCCAACCAAACAACACAAAACAGCGTGGTTTTATTATGCACGTAATCCGTGTACGCTTGGAAATAGGTTGGCAACACTTAAAGATAATAATTCTATGAGCAGCTGATTGACTAATTATAACTACGATTTAACCTGTCATTTCGTGTTTATAGTTTCGGTATTCCTGAACTTTCTGGACTTTTCTTTTAAACGTTTTTAAAATATTCCTACGATCTTAATAAACCAAAAAAATACCTTTTAAGCATTTTTTAAGGCGCGGAAACCTCTTCAAATTACTAAAACATACGGAACTATATTCTCAAAACGCGTAGCAAATTTCTTGCCGAGGAAAAATGGCGGAGTGATACGGACCGCGGGTACTACTTTCTCTAGGGCACCATTTTTGTTGCCAGCTGAACCTAAAAAAGCTTTGTATAGTGTTTGAAAGACTAATTATTTATATGCTTTATAGTGACTGTAGGAAAAATATAATGTGTAACACAAGTGAAAAAGGCCTTTGCTGCACTCAAGATCATTCCGCACTCGCCTGCGGCTCGTGCGTAAACATTGCTCTCGTGTGCAGCAAAGTGCCACTTTCACCACTAGTTACACAAATAACTATTTTCTTCCCTGTGGCAGAAAATCCAAGTACTTGTCGAACCTAATGCTATTTACATAGAGAATAAATCTGTCATGTTTGTGGAAATATTTGAATAAAAATCCAATCAGACAAATGGAAATTCACTTAGTCTGCAGGTTTGCTGTTTTGGGTTTAAGGTTTAATGCTGTATCACTCTCTGTGATTGGCTCATCCAACTATGTTGTTTTTCAGTAAAAAGAAATTGCCCACAGCTGGTCCATATAGATGGAATGTTGATTTATGTAATGTAAAAGAGGGTGTTAGTCTACCGAAACATATTTGCCATAGTGATGAACAAGCTAAGAATAGCTACTCTGTATTTTTATAAATAAATGTTTTGCAGTGATTATCATTAGCTAATTTGTTAATTTTTCTGTTACAGAGAAGCCAACCGCCGTACCCATTCCAAGCCTGGAACAGTTCCTTTTGTGCCAGAAAGAAAGAAACATATTGTCACAGAAAAATCTTAGTGGTTTTTATATCATTATATTTAATGTAAAAGGTTTTCCACATAATTGATTAAAAGTACAACTCCAAAGTATATATTTTTTAATCAAACCTCTATTTTATGACTAAGGTTTATGATTTTTTAAATGTGGCAAAATGTCAATTACCTTTATTGAAACTGCAAATTTTACACTATGCATTTTTATCAATATGTTTTCACCTTAACAAATGACTGTGCCAATATTTATTCAAATGAATATTATTGAAAATATTATTTAACAGGTAGGTTTTTGGTGCAGTATCAATTAGGATACCAATGAAATTTAAGGTAGTTTTAAAATATTTCAATTATTCAGATAACACTGTCAACATAACAAGTTCCTCCATTGCATTGACCATACAATAACACAGAAGCTTAGAAAATTAAAACAACATAAAATTTAGATCATGGTTATTTGACTTTTATTTAGATTCTGTACTATTACAATAATTGGACAATAGACTCGTATATTTATTCATGAGGGCTAGCTTTGTTTTCAATTCATAAACTAACTTGGTCATGAACAAGGGAAAGTAAAAAAATCGTACCTCAATATTAAAAAACAATTTATTGTACTTAAAACACATATTGCTTGCATGTATTTTTCATTGTGTATTTTTCAACTCTTTTAATAATTTCGGGTTAGGAATCCTTGCGTTTTTTGTTTACAGTCACAAGTGTTAAGTGGTACACTGCCAGATGCTCGTAGGGTTTCCAACAATCAGTTATGATTGTGGTACCCGTTGTGCACCTTGAGCAATCTGGCACCCGTAAATGGTTGGTCCCTTTTCCAATCCTACTGAGAACTTAATTTCAACGGATCCTCCTTCCTCGGTTGTATTTCCTTTTTTCCAATTTCACCCCCCCAATTTCCACTACCAGGGCCCTCGAGTCTCATTGAATTTTCAAGGCAGTCTTCTACGTACACTGATCTTATGAATGAAAATCAATCAACGGCAGTATTGCTACAAATATGGAAGTTTCTGAATAAAAAGTTTTGGCAGAACAATAAAAATACAAAATCTAAGACAGTATCCCAAACAGACAATTCTTTAATTTAGATCTGTCAGAAATAAACTAAAGCTTACAAGACCCTCTCCAATCACACTTCTTTAGCATTTACCTATTCAAATACAACAGAGTTGTCACCCACCAAGAGTATTAATCTTTTGACTGATTAAAGTGACGGAAAATCAGGCTTATTTCAAGCCTGGTATATAAAAGAAACATTGGAGCAGAATAGAGAGGGTTTCTTGGTAGCTGAAACACATTTATGTTTGTATTTATTTTATATTATTTATATTATTTTTTCATTTCATTATATGATTTATGGGCTTAATTTTCCTCAAGCTTATTTTCCCATCTATGAGAATTAAACTGTTTCTTGATCCTAGCTGGGTATATTGCACATAATCAAAATATTGCAAAATGCACAAATATTGCTGTGAAAATTGCTTGTGTTTACACACTTAAAAATTAAAAATGCATAACAAAGTTTTCTTACATACTATGGAAGCACTGTTAACAAAAAGTAACAACACACAGTAACTTAACAAAAGTTAAACAACAGAAAAAAGTATATAACAAAATAAGATACAATTTGAGAAATGAAGGTAGGCTTAAATGCTTGAGCTCAATACTTATGTAATATCAACTGAAAACAATAATAAGATATGTTGATTTTTTTATTAAAAAATACATTCCATCAAGGGAAGTTGAACACTGGAAGTTATTGATTTACTTTATGGAAGCTAACATCTTGTTTCCTCAGTGTGAACTATAACTCAAGGAACATTTTATATTTGAGTATTTAGGCCTACTTATTTCCTAGCTCAAAAGAGCGATTTGTAGCTGCTTCAACTGCACCAATGAGAGCAGCCCTGGAAACAAACAGGTAATGTTTAAAAACCTGTTGAAAATGTATACCTTTATTTCAACTACCGTTAAGGTGACCGATAAATAAATAATTGACTCTGAAAAACAGTTCTAAACAAGTATAATTAACAAGGTAATAAACTCCCTCCCCCTAACCAGGATAATTATTTTTCTTGTCAAAGTAGCAGAATGTTAAATTTCAATGTCAGACTAATGTGAGAAAGTATGTGTCATAGTTTGCCAATACTATTTTATACAAAACTAGCTGTGTACCCGTTCTATGCACGGGGATCTTATAGTAATCAGTTGAAACCTTCTTATATAAAGAACAGCAATTGGTTTGCATATTTTCAGATATGCTGGCCAAACAATTTATTATACATAACTTCATTTTATGATGTTTGTTGTTGTTCCGGATCGGTATGACAATCAATAAAAGGCTAAATTACCTGTGTCCGCCGGTCTATCCTAATGTATCCTATTACAGGAGATGCATTTCGGCGAAATTAAATCGCCATCATCAGTCCTAATATAAGGTCTTGAGCTTCCCCATTATGTGCGTCTTGGAGTTTTTGAAACACATACTCGAACTGTACACTTATATACATGACGAATAAAACATAAATACACGGTAGGCCTACTTTTATTTTTACTATGGACAAGTAGACGCGCGTCGGTCGTGTGCCGAGTCTCGACTGAAAACGCTCATTTAAAAAATGTAAGTTTCCCAGCAATGTACAACACTGATTCAAGGTCTATTTCCCGGTTATCAAAACTCAAGAACAATTTTATACACAAAGAATCTCTATTTTCATTTACTGTTACCCTACATATTATTGCACTTGCTATTAATTAAATCCGTTATGTAAGGAAAAACGTTTTTAATCTTAATTGGTTTGGATTTGCTTTCAAAACGTGATCGGAAATGGTTGCAGTATTTGTAAACAACATTCAATGTATACATATCAGTGACAGCTAGAAGAAAAGTAATCTTGATTTGAACAGCTGTTCGTTATTTCATAGAAGAATATGTGCTTAACATTAGGAGAAAACTTTACAAAAAATCGCACAAAATTGGGTTTTTAAACAACCGTCATTTTATTTACAAAGTGGTGACGCCATATTTTAATGGCTAAAGACAATCTTGCCAATCCAGTGAATACATTAAAAAGATTTTGAACTTGATAGGTACTCTCGTTTTTCAGGAGTAGGCCGCGTAAAATGGCTCTTGGGTCGTAACAGACGGGAAGACAGACAGAAATTTAGATGAGACTTGTTTCGGTTTCTCTAATGTATAAAACGTAAAAATAACCTAAAACTTTATGATTCTGAGCAATGTACAGACAAAACTCTAATTTTATTTATATAGATAATGAAAAAAAGCCATTTAATAAAAACTTGGCTACAGCAGCTAGTCTACTTCAGTCTATAACAGTCAAAGCTAATACCCACCTCACTCCTGACCTCTCTAACACGTGTATACCAGTGATGGTGGTGCCCCCTGGAGAGCAAACCTCGTCTTTGAGTTGTCCAGGATGTTTTCCTGTCGTCTGCACCATCTTGGCGGCACCCAGCAGTGTTTGACTGGCCAGCTGAGTGGCCAGGGCTCGCGGCACTCCCATCTTTACCGCCCCATCAGAGAGGGCTTCAATCATCAAGTATACCTAACAACATTAGAATGAAACACTCAAGTTGTAAAATAAGTACACCATTAAGCCCAGTTTCATGTCAATAATATTGATTTAACCCTCCCAGTGTTACTTGACGAAAATTCGACAAGCAGCACACTTTGTGTAGTGTTACTTGTCGATTTTTCGACACGCAGACATCGTTTACGGCGAAGGCTCTATGACTGACTGAATCGGATTGAACTGGATCGAGTTAGGTATCGTTCTTTCCGTAATATTCTAAGCTTTCTCCAGAGGTCTGTCTCTAAGCGCTATTCATTTTAGTTCCGAAAATATTGTAGCAGACAGCTGTCCGGATAGACTCCCTCCTATCCGGACTCCTTGGGACCGAGGCCAGTCCGGATAACGGTTTTTCCGGTTAAACCGACGTCCCCAAAAACTCATTAAAACGGACCATTTAAATGCATACTGTATGTATACAGTATTTGACTTAAATTTAGGAGAGCATTATATTTACATACATGATCACTGGTTTCAAATCTTTCCCACGAGAACAGTCGTTTCAGTACCACCCACTTCCTGCCGATCTAGTCCGGTTATTCCAATGTGCTGATAAAAATTGTCTGGTTAAAGAGATGTCATTTCCGCCCAGTGTAGTCCGGTTAAACCGATGTCCGGATAAGAGGGAGTCTACTGTATAACATACGTTCTAAAGTTTTCTATTATTTCTTTTAAAATAAAATAGAAATCTTCAACACAAAGTATAGAAAGTGTGGAAACAATCCAGGTATGTCTACATTTAGGCCTAACAGGATTGTACATTTTTATTGGGCTAAACCACTAAAACTACACTAAGAACAAACACCTTAATATTTTAAACAGTATAGTTCGGTTATCATTCGATGATTTAATTTTCAGACAATAATTGATAGCAGTTTTCAAATCCACAAACACAAGCCATGCACTAATGGGAAGCGATCCCACCAGCAAGAGGAGGATAAATATGAGAGAGGGAACATTAGAGATCATGAGAGAGGCAGTTAACGAGTGGCTCCCTCAAGATCTACAACTTGTATCTGGTCTCGCTAGACACCGATTTTATTTAAACCTATGAATGCATCCCCCACTTTTCTGTGTACCCTACTTAACCCTTGCTGTTATGGGCATTCAACACTCAACACAGCTTAACATTGTTATTTTATGCTTGTTGAAGCAAGGATGTGATTAAATATAAAAAAGAGACATCTTGCGTATTATAGGTTCATGTGTACAATAATTAATTTCTTATGTGAGTGTATGATCCTGCACAAATCTGTGTTTAGGAACCATACTACTGTACCTTAGAACTCCAACCATCCAAATCTATTGCCACGTATCACACTCAAATAATAAAAATTTGGATGATTGGATTTTTAACGTAATTCAAGCGATTTATAGAAAATATGCCAAATCAAGCAGAGCTTTAACAATAATCGCGACAGCAGAACGCGTTTGTGAGTGTTACGTGATAAAAAAGTGTACGCTTTTGCCATAATTGCCGAAGAAGATGACGGATTTTCTGTGTCACACATTGGTGATGATAATCTACCAGACTGCGAGGGATGTTCAGGATTTTGGCGCGATCTCAAAAGACAATGTGATGCGATGATTCTGTGACCACGGAAACGATATTGAAGTCCACACAATGGCAGGAGATTTTCAAGATAATGTACGAGCAGGCCTTCTGCCTTCTTTAGTAATGAATCACAACAGGCCTACTGTAGTTTTATGGTTTTAAACTTCTTTTTGTAAGCGATTTGGATAATCAGGGAGCTGGAATTCGGATATTTGGAGTTTGTATTGTCAGTTTCAAAATCTTACATAAGCAGGACCACTCCCGGCCAGAGCTCCAACTGGGTTCAACAGCCGTTCTGGCACAATCTCACACAGACCTCCGGCAGAAAATATTGTCTTGACTAGTTCACTATCCTCAGCTCTGGCTCCCTCACTCACTGCATACGCTGTGAAAAATTGCAAACTAAATGAATTTCATGGTCACACCTAGAAAAGGTAATTAATTTTGGTACGTCATGAAGATAAGGAGGTAGTTAATAGTATAATAAATAATATTAAACTAACCTGTGGCCCCCGCCCCAACCATGATTGGCGTGTTAGGAATAACTCTGACGATACGCCAAGGCTCTGGACCAGCTTCAGTGAACCTAAATTGTGTCCGCAGTTTCTGTAAACGGAAATCGTCCTGGTTTATTTAACAATGTTAACTATCGGTCAATGTATGAAATTTTGCCTGGTTACAATACAAGCAAAGAAATATCATTAAAAAAACCAACAAAAAAACATTTAAAGATTGGTTTATAAACTTTACAAGAGTTAAAATTTCTATAACATTTCAAGGGTAAAATTTAAGTATAAATGAAATTTTATAATAAAAATTGAAGGAATGTTTTAAATCTAGGCTTGTATCAAACGTGTTGAAAAATGTATCTGTTGCAAGCTGAAAAGTAATCTATTACTTATTTAATACGCAAGCAGGTTTTTTGTGACAATTACTCCTCCGAAACTACTGAACCGATTGACATGTTTTTGGTGTCATTGGAAAGAGCGTAACGTGAAGTTGTGCAGGAAACTTTCTTTTTAAGGAAATGATTAGAGAGTGAGGCCCTGGGGCCCTTTAAAGTTTCGTATTTCTCCATAAGATTAACATGGGAAACAAACATTGTTATGAAACTCCAGCTGTTGTCAGAAATTAAAAGTGAGAAGAAGAACATATGTTAATTGTAAAATTGTGACAGAGATGTTAAGCAGAAAATCAGGTAGTTAATGGTTATTTGGTGCTATTAAAAATAAAGACTGAAATTTGTAATCGTACTGGCAACAAAGGGTGATACCATGCAGACTATAATTATCATTTACAAAGACCAACATGGACAACCTATTGCGGCTATAAGAGGGAAACATTTTTCTACAATACACTAAAAGCCAGATCAGCTTTTGAAAAATTATAAAATATTTACAAGAAATGTTTATTATATTGGATTTTTATGTACATTGTGAGTAGGCCTATATATTATCATTAGTTACGTAATCTTTGAGTTGACTCTTTTAAACTCATCGGAATGTATGACTTATATTTGTTCTTAAATAAGTTATTTGTTTTTAAATAACTCCTTTACTTCATTGCGATTGCTCGATTTCGAGCAACATGTACACTAGTACTAAACAATATACCTTTAAGGAGTGGAACCGGTATTGGATATCATAACAATAATTATTATATGGCTTACATAGCTATGTTAAGATGTGAAATATGATTGAAGGAAACTTACATCATTCAAAGTTTCGATAGTAATCCCCACAAGAATCGATATGTAAAGTTTATTGTTTGGAACTGGGTCAAAGCTTTTGATTGCTTCGTCTAAATACTGAGGTTTTATTCCAAGCATTATCACATCACATTTATTCACCACTTCAGCTGAAAAAATAATTAAGAATTAGGACTAGGCTACATCACTCTAGTCTATATGGTTCCAAGAACATCACTCTACATCATGGCTACATCACTCTAGTCTATATGGTTCCAAGAATAGCAAAAACTAGATTTAAAGAGAATGGATTTCTTACAGTAACCTACTCATTCTAACATTTGAAAAACTCTTTTAAGAAACATGGCTAAATTGATCTTAATCAACTGTTGGTATATGTCTTTCTACAATCAGGAATACTAACACCTTCAATAAACTCAATTCACACTGCAACGTATCAAAACGAACAATTTATGACATTAACAAAGTTCACCGCCATAATAATAATATCTTAGGCCTAATAAACTAACCAAACCTATCATACTATTAGGCTTTCTCATAGGCTTGGGATAGTAACCAAATAGAAACCTCATTCTAAACAGCCTAGGTTGTTTTACAGTTACCCAAGTTAAACACCGATTCCGTTAGTTCCTAGCTACTTTCCAATTTTAAGGTAAATGAACACAGATTTAAGTTTGAATCAGTTTGATATAACCTTCAATTTGTGACACAAACAGATTCAACATCTTAACGTCTGCCAGCACAACAAGCAAATTCATCAAAGGCCATGAATTAATATGTATTAGGTAGGCCTACCTACCAACCATTCACCTTTATTTAAAATATAAAATAGTTGTGATTTGTTTTAAATAAATAAACAAAAAATGAGTTGGTCAGTTGGTGTGTTAAACTTTCAAAATTTAAGAAACTAGTAACCAAACAAACAGATAGGCTATTTCACAACAAACAGAAATAGAACAATTATTTTGAAGAATTTGAATAGGTTATCATTTTTTACACTATATAGTAGGCCTAAGCAGATGGTTTCTGTGCTCTTTTATCGACCAGAAAGTCGTTGTTTAAAGGAGTCAGCTAGAGTACACTAAATATACTAGTCAGTTTTGCAATCCCTCCCCTTTAGTCCAAGCTCTAATAGGGGAACCGAGCCTCATGTACAGGGCGGGTCGCAGTTGGCGGATGGCGAACGTTCCATCAGATATGGTTGACAGCTGCGAATAAGGGGTAACTCGAATGAGCAATCCCGGATTGAGGCCACAACACCAAGGGGGCGTGAGAGGGTGATCCGTGGTGATCCGTGATCCGTGTTGTGCGGGGTCACACTCAGCAAGTCCTCATGAGCCCGATGATAGTGCTGTGTCATGGCGAGGAAGTGCCGCCATCAAATAAGCACCGCACGTACTGCCTTGTACGATAGGGTTTGGGTACCCAAAGGCTAGGAGAAGGAAACTCTGAAATTAAACCATGGCCAGATCGGGGTCTGGAAGCTGTGGTGGAAGCAATTGACCTAGGAGAAGAGGACTCTAAATCAAATCAAATCAAATCAATTTATTGACACAAATAACGTTACATTGGGTGCTTATAGCAGTAACTGGTGTCTTGTCAATTACATAAATCTTAATAATAAAATACAATGGAAAAAACATTTTACATAAAACATAGAAGATTACAATAACAATAAAATGTACAATGACTATCCCAAGGAGGTGTCTGCTAAAAAGTCTGAGATGGAATAATAAACCTTATCCAGTAGAATTTCTTTAATTTTAACTTTAAAAACATTTACTGCCAATTGTTTAAATTTATTCGGCAAATGGTTGTACAGCTTCAGGCCTGTATAAAAAGGACATTTTTCAAATTTTGTTGTCCGATGGATTGGGTAACTGTAAAGGTTCTTGTTCCTAGTGTTGTATTTATTTTTTATTAAGAACTTTTCAACATCTTTTTTATTTTCATGGACATAATTAAGGCTTTCATAAATGAACAGGCTGGGGAAAGTTAATATGGACTGATTTTTTAAATGTTTTTTACAGGAAGCCCTAAATTTAGCGTTTGCCATATTTCTAATGAATCTTTTTTGCATTGAAAATATCTTTTTACTATTTTTTGAATTTCCCCATAAGGTAATGCCATACCTCAAAATCGATTCTACATGGGAAAAATAAACTATTCTGATAACATTTTTTGATGCACACTGAGAAAGAACTGAAAAAGCAAAAAAGAATGATCTTAATTTTTTTAACAAATAATCAATATGTTCCTTCCAATTTAGTTTTTGGTCAATGATCACTCCGAGAAATTTTTGTTGTGAAATATCTGTCATGTTTGACTGTTGAAAAAAATAAGACGTTTGTTTTATCACTGTTTAGTGCCAGGCCATTAGCTGTAAACCATTCACGGAGATCTTCCAAAGTTTTGTTAACTGAAATTTGCACTTCCGACATTGAGTTGCCTTTCACAAAAGCAGTGGTATCATCTGCAAAAAGTATTAATTCTGAAAGAATTTTTTGGGGCAAGTCATTGATATAGATGATGAATAATAAAGGCCCCAGAATTGAGCCTTGAGGAATTCCACATTCTATATTTATCCAGTCTGAATAGTACTTTATTCCCTTTTTTATGATGAGAGTTCTTTGTTTACGGTTTGCCAAATATGATCTAAACCATTTAAGAATGTTACCTGTTATTCCAATTTTACTAAGTTTGTGAATTAGAAGTTCATGATTGACACAGTCAAATGCCTTAGACAAATCACAGAAAACACCAGCTGCATACTGCGATTCATCCAAGGCCAACATGGTTTTGTTAACAAAATTTGATAGAGCTGTTTGAGTGTTCATGTTTTTTCTGAAGCCAAATTGGTAATTGTGAAAGAAAGAATTATTTTCAAGAAATCTACTTAGGTTATCACACATAACCTTTTCAAAAATTTTTGATATGTTTGAGAGTAATGTGATTGGTCGATAATTATTTATGTTTACTTTTGATCCCTTCTTAAAAACTGGAATGACATTACCATATTTAAGTTTTTCTGGGAAAACACCACTGCTAATGGATGCTTTTATGATGTTACTCAATGCCGGTGCCAGTATTAATGAATTTTGCTTCAATAACTGGACAGGTATTCCATCCCAGCCTGTAGAAGGTTTATTTTTCAGACCTTTTATTATTTTGCTAATGTAATCATCAGAAAAATTCTCAATATAAAAATCTGAATAGTTATAAGATGGATATTCTTTCATGGTTTCTATTACATTTATCTTCGGAATATTCAATTCATTTACAATGTTTTTAAAATGGTTATTGAAATATTGTGACACTTCCCTAGGGTCATCAATCCTGGTATTACCAATTTCTAGCTCTATACAAGTTTGATTGTTACTCTCTAAGGCCAGGCGCACACAGGCGATTTTGAGTCGCGCAACAGTTGCCCGACTAAAATGTTCAACATTGTTTTAAATTGGAGTGCGCACACGAAGAAAACAGTCTGGGGACAGTCGCGCAACTGTTGCAACCGATGTTCCCGGACCCAATTTGTCAGCGACTGCTCTGCGACTGAATTGTTGCGGGACTGTCGCTCCAGGTTTGGTATCCATTGAAACAAGTGTAGATGCGCACACATGCAACTAAATAGTCGCTGTGTCGCTCAGTCTCACCCCAGGAGTTCAACTACTCGTGGCCAGAACGGTCACTAGTGTTTGCTCTCTTGTGTGAAGATTTTAGAAAATTACAAGTATGAGTGTGCGTGATGAGGATGTCGAACAATTATTTGATGAAGTTGAGAAGAGGCCGACTATATTTAAAGTCATTGAAACTGTCCTTTCACAAGTCGCTCACTATATATATATGGGATGAACCCAGTATCTTCTCTTTTTCTTTCGCGCGCGAAACTTCAGCAACAAAGCACATACTACGGCTGTATCATTGAAATCCATTCGGAACGCTGTAACGAATGTATGTCAAACACGTCTCAAGACTAGATCCGCGACTAAAAAGTTGCCTGTGTGCGCACTCCAGCTCAACTGTCGCTAGACATCAGGGTCTCCGAGAGAGTTGCGCAACAGTCCCCCGATTAGTCGGGCAACTGTTGCGCAACTCAAAATCGCCTGTGTGCGCCTGGCCTAAACCTAGCTGTCTCCTTGCTACAGACCAAGTAGCCTTTACCTTATTGTCAGACACTTTAATGAAATTGCTGTTGGCCTGCCACTTAGCTGCTTTGACAACCTTGTTAAAAGTGGTTTTGTATCTCTTAACATAATTCTTAAAATCAATGTTACCACTTTTTTTTTTAGCCAACATATGTAATAGTCTTTTCTTTTTTGCAGATATTTTTAAGCCAGGTGTTATCCACATTTTATTACACTTACTTGAATTACTAGAATTTATTTTAACAGATTTTAATGGGAAAGATTGATCAAATTTTAACAGGAGCTCTCTAAGAAAATTATTATAAATATCATCAGCATTGCCACTGGTCAAATTAAATTGTACATCAAGGATATTTTTTGAGAACTGTGCCATTGATTGCTCATTAAAAATCCTTTTGTTTACAGTATTAGACTTTCCTTTCTTTTTACAGAAACACAGTTCCAACATCAAACAATTGTGGTCAGAAAAACTTAAGTCTAAATTCAGAACATTTGATATATCACACACTATATTAGTTGCTATATTATCTATACACGTTTTGCTCTGGTTTGTTATTCTAGTTGGGCTTTTAAAATTAAATTGAAATCCATAACTTTCTACAATTTCTATGAATTTATTGGATATGGTGTCATTTTTTAGAATGTCAATATTGAAATCAGCGGCAATAATAATTTTTTTAGTTAACTTTTCCTTTTTGAGCAATTGTAGTAGAAATTCTAGTTTTGACAGAAATAAATTAGCATTATTGTATCTTGGAATGCGATAAATTGAAATAAAAACTAAATTATACTCTAAAATCTCTACAAAAGATCCTTCAAAAACAAACTTTTCATTAATACTAGCTAAATCCTTCCTTACTCTAAAATCTATACCGTTTCTCAACAAAATACAAGATCCACCTCGAGACATGTTCTCCCTAGCAAAGAAATCTGCTAAGACAAAACCATTTAAAGAATTCAGCAGCGATACACAATCTGGTGATAGCCAGTGTTCATTTAGAGAAATACCAATTACATTGTTTGTGCTACAGCTTAGAAATATTTCTAACTCATTTAGTTTGTTTGACGCATTAGTGAAAACTCCCTCAATGTTAAGATGCAAAAATGATTTTTTAATGAAGTTACTTTGTTCTAGCAATTTATCTCTAAAAAAGCTCCAGGATGTGTATCGGTTGCCGGACTCTTGCAGTGAACCTGATCTTTAACAGTTTTGACAGAATTTTTAACCTGACAGTTGGCAAGCTTCATTTTTACCCTTTTTGACCTTCGCAGAAGTGTCGGGTATTGCTCCAAAGACAATATGTTAGGCATGGAAGTATCACTTGTCACTGCACTTTTTCCATCTTCCTTACACAGGACATCTCGGTAAAGTCGCTGCTTCTCTGTGTTTGGTGTGTCCCAGCCGTAGAACTCGTCAGAAGAGCTTGGAGATGTAGAACCCCTCCTCACGGTTGACTGTCTAGTGAGCCCTCCTGGCAAGCCATCCAGCATTTGGGTTGAAGTGGAATTAGTAATAGCAGCAGGAACAGTAGGGCAACTTGAAGAGTCTCGAGACTGATTTTCACATGAAGAACTTGCATCTGGAGATTCTGATTCAGAATTTAGGTAGTGGTGCTTGCAAATAAGCTTAGCAAGATTCTCTGACAGAATAGATTTACCATGGTTGTTCATGTGTAAGCCATGACGTGTGAAGTGTTCTCTTCTTTGCCAGTTTAGATGCACAATATCTATGTATTTCTCTTCTCTAAGCCGCCTTTGTAACACTCCATTAAAGAATTTTATATTTTTATGTGACAAAGTTGTGTCAAACCTTGCAGGAACCAAAACTACTGATACCTTGGTTGATTTGGCGATATGTTTAATGTCTGCAAGGTCGGGTACAGACTGCCTTTGCATGTCAGGCAAAATGTCATTCGTACCAGCAAAGATTATGACATGATCATCATGGGTGTAGCCTGTGGTAAGTTTCAGGATATCACTGGTGACATACTTAAATGGTGCTCCAGGACGAGTTATGGCCATGACATGTGCGCCTGAGGGTAGAGAGGATTTACCATACCATAAATACCATAAATACATTAAACAAACTCCTAGTCCCCCAGGATGGGGGTTGGGCGTGAGGTTAGCAACCTCACACTGTCAAAAGAACATTGCTACACATTTGCATAATGAGTCTCGGAGATTGGATGGAAATACAGGAACAGACTTAGAAATGCTCAATGGACTCAGAAACGGAAGTGGAGGATGACCTGAGTATATTGAGAGTTAGAAATTGCAGAGAGATGGCACAAAATCCAGCCGATTGGAGGCGAATTCTAGTGGAAGCCAAAGGCCACCAAGGCCTGTAGAGCTGCGGAAGAAGAGTTTTGCAATAATCAATAACCCTTTCAGTGCTATACAGTGATATATCATTGTGCATCTTTCCCGAAAAGTGCTATGGAACGACATATCGTTATTCACGTTTCTTCCGAATAATGCTAAGTGATAATAAATCGTGCCGGCACGACTTTTGATTGTGTTGAGTTTAAATGGGTACATCAATTGACTCGGATGTTGTTTCGAAAAACAGCAATGGTTTCTTTCAATTCCTCATACGATCAAGGCTCGATATATTGTTCCTTAGCAGTTTGAGATGAAAAATTTTATTTTTACAGATTTTTTCCTCGCATACTAGACTTTGCCCCCATGGCAAGCCAAGCACTTTTCAGACAAAATAAGTACCGTAGCCTAATTAACTCTAGCATTTTTTGGAAAATTAAATTACAAGGGGTTTAAAATTAGATTAAAAGGGTTAAACGAAGCTATCCCCCCTCACAATGCTACCTATCCCGCAAGCACAGACCCAACTATTGCAACAATGCAAATATCTGGTTTGAATCACTTGAATTGATGCCCGCCATTGTATAAGTTAGTAAACATTTACAAATTAATTTATTAGAAAATGCATTAGGCCTACCATAAAGTGAATTATGACTTAAGTTGTTATGAGATTACACATGCTTTGAAGTGGGGTTAGATTAGATAAGTTAAAGGTTAGGTTAAAGGATGAACCTAACCTTTACCTTCCTAATATAACCTCACTTCAAAACACTTAATACAGTCAGGAATCTGCATAAAACCCGAACTAACTTCCCCAAATGGCCTGCATAAATAAGAGCTGATTATTTGGTTTCAAAAGGAATTGATTTCATTCTGCATTAAGTCGAGTATATACAGCTGTTTGCTCTCCTCACTCGTAGACATCTAAAAATTACACGATCGCGTTGTAGACATATTAAATAATTGCCGAAACGTGCTCAGCTAGATTTCGGCGATCTAGACCCATCTTAAAGTTTTTAATCCTTCAAATTTAAAGTTACTCTTTGAATTATAGTACAATGTGTATAACTAACTTACCATTTGAATGAGTAGTAGCAATTCCTTTTTCTTGCCAAAAGGGAAAATTTGTTTTTGAGGGCGCTGAGACTATAATTAAGTTTGGTTTCACTATCCCTGAAAACACAAATATATTAATTGAATTGGTCTAACATAACAGACGAAGGACATGAGTTAAAGAATCACTAATTTATCAGTTGGCTGATTTTAAAGTAATCACCCTTGATAATTTTTATCAGAAATCACAGCTAATGCATAACCTTACCAGAATCCAGCATTCCAGAAACAATTGCCTTAGTCATGTTTCCTGCTCCAATGAAACCTATTTTGCATTCTATCATTTTTGATGGTTAAATGTAAATTTTTAAATTTGAAATACAGAATATCGTATTATCAATTTTTGACGGAACTGATAAAGAACGCTAATAAAATTCTAAAATTAACGTTTTGTTATCACCGGACACATGTTTCACACAAACAAATCAACAAAAAAATGCTTATTTTGTATAGTAAAGTAATAATGTTGGTTTTTATTCTCCTCTCCTCTCCTTTCTGCTAGCGTTTTTCTAACTCATAAGAACGCAGGCATTCAAGTCAAGTCATCAAGTATTTAATTGTTATGTTTTTAGGAAAAAGCATTTAGCTTGGATTAATAAATATATAGGATGGAGAGGACACAGCTAACTCACCTGATGAAAGGTTGCAGACGAGTCAAAGAACACATAAAATCACACACATAATAATACTTAATATTTCGCCTCTTTCAGAGGCTTCTTCAGTAATGCCTACTTCTGAAGAAGCCTCTGAAAGAGGCGAAATATTAAGTATTATTATGTGTGTGATTTTATGTGTTCTTTGACTCGTCTGCAACCTTTCATCAGGTGAGTTAGCTGTGTCCTCTCCATCCTATATATTTATTAATCCAAGTATTTAATTGGTCGCTGTATGAATTATATGAAATTGCATTTCATAATTCATGCAAATAACGCATAAGGCTGTCCAAACCCATTTGTTTTGTAGATGTGCTGGAAATGGGAAATCGAACCCATCCATCTTGCACCGTAATCTGCAATGCACTTTGCTAGCAACATACTATATTGGTATAGTGTAAGTGTATATATACAAATCCTTTTTATACTATTACTATGTATACTCCCTGATGTGGATTAACGTACGCACTAGTGAGTACTATGACTTTCAATTGTCAATTGTCAATCATTAAGATGGGGACGCCACTTAGGTGCGTATTTTAACCCAAATATGAGTGAAGGGTGAGTTTAGATGGTGTGAGATGATCTGTGTAGCTTTGTTACTGACTAAGATCAGCTGTTTCATTAGCCAGGATCATTTATTTAAAGCCCAATGATCAGGAACAGCTGGGTCCAGTTTCGAACCATCAAAAAGCTACTGACTTTTCTCAGGCTCGAACCGGCGTCCTTTTGATTAGTAGGCGAGCACTATAACCACTCTGCTACCCAGCCAGTTTTCCGCAGTACTATCCAGATAATTAGACCAATACGTTAATACCGAGGAAAAAATTTGGTTCGAAATCCACTATAAAAACTGTAGGCCCCTTAGTTGCCATTAGCTGTGGACTATTAAAATTAACAGATGTGTCTAAGGAATATGCCGGACTTAGTCACTAACAAGACTACAAGATCGCGCCACTCATCCTACACTCATCTCCATTCATACTTGGTTTAAAATACCTTAAAATACTTTAAAATACTTTTTATGGTCGCAATTTCAATTAAAAGTATTAAAACAACATTTTGGGGTCAATTGTAGCAAATTTCCCTATAGGGAAGTAGCTGTTACCGTAGGTATAGCATGGTTTTTGTAATTGTGTCCGATTTTGATGGTATTTGGCTTATTAAAGGCGTAGGGCGAGCATGTATCTACATTTTAATCTAAGCTTATCCATCTATCTGAATTCTTTAATCACACAATCATATATTCATATTCATATACTTGAATGAGTTCGCGAACCAGCAAGAACCATCATATTTTTTTAATGGTTTGCTGTGTGCAGTTTTAACAGATTTTTTACTTGGTTTTTGGTTTGGTTTGCAGTGAATTATTTTATGTTTTCAGGAAAAGACTGAAATATTAATTTAAGTTCAATATTATGTTAGACAAAGCCTATTGTATACAGCTTAGTGGCAGAAATTAATCTTGAATCTTGAACCATATGGCAACAGGACAAACAGTTTTTACATTTGCAAAATTTGATTTATTTCATAATGTTTCCCTTAAAGCATGGAAATGTCTAATTCTCATTACAGCACGTTTAGTGCTTAAAAATGTGTAAATTTGTATTTAGAATTGATATACAATTAAAAATAACAGAGAAAAAACTATACATTTTAATGCTTATGTTATTCTTATGGAGTAAAAGAACACTGTTGTAGTTTACTTGTTTATGAAAATAATTTCAATACTAGTATTGAAATACTATTCAAACCATACTATAGAATAGAATAGATGATTTCAAATACTATAGGCAATATCTATATATCTATCTATAGTAATATATAATTATATATTATATAGTATAGGCAATACTATAGGCTGTGAGGCTACAACTTACCAGCTTGTCATAAGAAACTAAGTATCTTCCTCAGTTTTAATATGCATATATTTATAAAATGAAATAAAATTGTGCAGTACATATTGTTAAATTATATTTGTATCTTACTTCAATGACATTATATCAGTCACGGCCGCCTTTAACAGGCCGCGGCCTTCGAACTGGCAACGTCGCAAGTGGTGTTGTAACAGCTGTTTTTGTTTGGAAAATTGGAAGTAGCTAATGGTATTTGTGTATTTACGAAATATTGGTTACTGGACTATGACAATATTGACTAACTTAAAAATGTACAGATATAGATTTTAATTAATATTGTTTCGGTTTTCAATTCTGTATGTTTTATTTTCAATATTTTAATAAATATATGTTCATCAATTTAAATTTAAATAAATAAAGTGCGAATTAATGAGCTGATGTCACCTGTCTGCCATGCTCCAATGCACTGAGCTAAAATTATAACTGGAGGTAGCACTGCCATGGCAGAAGTCTGTCAAAAGCGAGTCGCTGATTTTGTTAGGTTGGTATAGCAGTAAGTTTTCTTACCATAGCAATAACATGGCTTCTTATAACTAGGTTGGTATAGCAGTGAGTATTTTTGTCATACTTGAATACTTTTAATACTTTAATAATTTTCTTTGAAATGGCGACCATACAAAGTAGGTATTTTAAGCCAAGTATAATAATAGTTATAGCAATAATATGGCTTCTTATGACACCAGACTCACGCAAACATGGCGGCTGGCGACACGCATCTTTGACATTCAGTGCTACCTCCAGTTAGAATTATAGCTCAGTGCTCCAATGGGACGTCTGTCACTGAACATCACATCACCACTTGCAACGTTGCCAATTCTACCAGGCCGCGGCCTATAGTTAAAGGTGGCCGTGTATCAGTTTTTACTTTCGACGAATCATTGAAGTGATTCACTGGTTATTTGACCTATCACAGCTGACTAGACACATTGATTTTTATTTGACTAAAAACCAAAGTCTATGCCTTAAGCCCCCTGCAGACGGGGACAGTAGTGGCGTCCAGTACTGGCGTCCACAAGTGGCGGCCACTGTACTGTCAAGACAGTAGCCCTACACACGGGGACAGTACTGGCTGCCACAGAAACTGTTTTAGTGGCGGCCAGTGTGACACCACAGTGTTTTTGTTCAGTATCAAAATGGATGAATTTGACTTGGAATACGAAAATGCAGTGGATGAAGTTGTTGAAGAAGTTGTCGATGAAGTAATTAATGTTTTGAGTGAAGAATTGGAAGATATAGTAAATACCCCCGCCACTGCAAAACTGCAGACTAAGCAAATTTTCTATTATCCTGATTTGATTTACACGAAAATGCCTCTTTAAAAATACCACATTTATTCGCTATTTAAATAGAATTAGTTTAACGAGTACTTAGGTTTGCTGCAACAGGGAGGGTAAAAAAGTGTTTTTGTTGTAAAATGTTAATAGTTTAGTGAGAAATGAATGTATTTTCCAAATTCAATCAAAATATGTTCATAAACAAGCAAACTACAACAGTTGAATTATTCTCCATAAAAATAACATAGGAATTTTAAATTTACAATTTTTTGGAGTTTTCTCCGTAACCATTAGGCACACAATAACGCTTCAATATGCTTAATTATTTGTTTTTTAAGCTATATACAAAATGGTTTGGAAAGAAATTGTGAATTTTTTGTTTTTAGGGCCAAAAATGGGAAAACCCTATTTTTACCCCATAAAACACCCCCCATAAACCCCCGTTCCCACAGTCCGATTTTTAGCCAGTGGTGATTACTATCAATCACTCGCAATATTTTTTCGAGTACCAGCAAACAATGTCAAGTTTCATGTCTGATAGTAAGTTAAATGCGTATATAAGTTAAAGGTTACCAACTTAATAATAGGCCTAGAATGTACAATGTACATTTCGTTATGGAAATCACGGATCGACAACAGTTTCCTCAGTGCTCTAATTGCGACCAGAACATTTAAGGTTAGAAAAAATGGCCGTCAGTAGGTCACGTGACCACGCTACTGTCCTCTGAGCGGCCACTAAACTCAAACTATTTTGTCTTTTACTGGCGGCCAGTAGCTACTGGCCGTTGAAGCGTCCAGTACCTCATCACACGTAGACAGTAGGCGGACAATTACTGGCCGCCATTAATGGCTAGGTCTACTGGACGCCACTACTGTCCCCGTCTGCAGGGGGCTTTATCTAATTTCTTTCAGCTGATTTAGTGAAGCAGTAGCAGACTATGGTTTGCAGCTGTTTGTTGACCATCGAAAAAAGTTTCAACTTCAACTGTCAAATAGTAAGTAAACGTAAACGTAAATAAAATCAACACTTGAATTCAACCACAGATAATTGGGCAGTGTTTCCATTTGAGGGATAAAAATCCCTTTCTAGGGATATTTAGGGCCTTCGAGGGATTGAAAAGGGATTGAGGGATAACTAGGGATAATCAGCGAAATTGAAGGATTTTTGAGATTTTCTAGGGATTTCAGGCCTTTGACATTATAAAATTGAAATATTGATAAAATAATACATTATGGCTGTATTTCAACAACGTTAAGGACCTATTTTGGCTCATTTTGCAAGGTATTGATAACACATTGATAAAAATACTTTTCCCTAGGTTTTGGTAACAAATCGATTATTGTAGCATAGATAAAACAAACGGTTAGTCTATGGTTGTAGGTAATGGTAGTGAAGTAGGTAGTGTTTCAAGTTTCAAAGTCGGAACACTCAAGGGGAAGAGTAACAGCCAACACTGCACGAAACAAGCAAGGTTGGAGTTGGTCGGTGGAATGGAATGGCGGATCTAGATTACTGTATTTATTTGTTTCTTATTAGTCCTGTGTCAATGTCGAATGTTTGTTTTCGTTTTCAT